TTTTTCCTGAGGAATTGCTCTGACCTACTTATCAGATGAGAGCCCGCAATCTGTTCCTCGGTTGTGTGGAAACTCTCAGCTCTGCTTTGTACCCATTTACAGCAATGATCCCTGGCCTGCTTTTCTGGTTCTTGTCTGCACAGCCGCCCAGCCTTTACATAACCCTGCTGGTAACGTGGACAAGGCACCAGCCCGGCAGTCAGGCAGATGTGGTTTGTGAATCCCCGGCCTACTGTGAGTCGAATGAATGTGGGCATGCAATTTAACTTCTCCAAACGTCAATTTCTCCCCGTGAAAGCAGAGACATAATACCTAGTCTCCAAGTAGGTTTTATCTTTGTTGAGATTCAGTGAGCTAACGTCTGCACAGAAGGCTAGCCCTGCTCCAAGGAGGTGGATTCCCTTTCCTTTTTCTTTTCCAGATGAACCCCTCCTGGCCGTGTTTTGCATAGGGACGCATTTGCAGAACAATCCTGAGCGATACATAGTGAAATAAACAAACAAACAAGTAAACAAACAAGCAAGCAAATTAAAACTGGGACTTTGTGGCGTCTGACCCGCGGCCGCTAGGATACCTGAACTGTAAGCCACAGAACATTCAGGACCTAGCACCCCGCAGGATGGGGGATGTGCATCAGCCACACGTGCAGATTGGTTCTCTATCTCAGTTCCCCAAGCGGCTCTGGGGATCCCCAAGACCCGCTTCCGCGTTAAGACCCGCAGCCAAGGCAGCAAGGCGTTGAGAATGGTCTCCGAGACGATAAACAAGCGTGAGAGGAGGAAGTGGGTGTCACCGCACAGCCCGTGCCTGGCCCGGGAACGCAGGCCGAGCTGTTTACAAATCGGTGCCTGCAAAAAAGTTTGAGCCGCAAAGCTCATTTCTTGCCGTCTGACCCCTCCTCTGGGGTGGGCCTTCCTTTAAACAAAGGACAGCTTCCGCAGCACTCAGAAACAAATGTTTGCTTGCCTGGAGGCAGAAGGAGGCGGGCGCCCTGCGCGATGCCTGAAGTAAGCCTTCCTCCTGTCACTTAGGAGCCTGTGCCGTCTTGTCGGCAGGAGACACCGCAGCAAGGGGACAGGCACCTGGAGAGAATCAGATTCCACAGATAATTACAGGAAGGGCAACCACAGGTCCCAGTGAGGCCAGCTGTCTGCGGGCGGTTTTCATCGGGCTCTTTTTCACTCTATTGACTGATCTGCACGGAATCAGTTTCCCCGAGGTGCCAGAAAGTACCGCACATTGGGCGCCTTGCACACAGAAATCGATCGCCCCACGGTTCCGGAGGCCAGAAGCCCAAGATCGAGGCCTTGGCAGGGCTGGCTTCTTCCGAGGCCACCAGCGAGAATTTATTCCATGCCTGTCTCCTGGCTTCTGGCGTTTGCTGGCAAGATTTGACATTCCAGAAGCAACGTCCCGGTCCCTGTCTTGGTGGCCACGTGGTAGGCTCCCTGTCAGCATGTCTGTGTCCAAATCTGCCCTTTTTATGAGGACGCCGGTCATCCTGAATCACTCCGGGATGGCTTCACCGTAACCAATGGCACCTGTAATGACCCTATTTCCAATATGGCGACCTTCTGAGGCGCTGGGAGTTAGGTCTTGAACGTGTTCGTTTGTGGGGGATACAATTCAACTCCTAACACCTGTTGCGTGGCACACCTTTGCTAGAAGCTGAGGGAGAGAAAGAGGTGGTGACATACAGCCTGTGCTTGGCTCACCCACAAGCCAGCCTGGAACACGACCAGCAGGGCATTCTGCAGCCCGGTTTACGGTTGATGAGCGGGACAGTGGAGATACGAGCCAAGTTCCATGGGAGCAGGAAGGAGGGTACCTTACAGAAATGGCATTTGAGGACTGGGTTGAGAGGTACAATCTTTAAGTTGCTCTTTAGTGTGAAGCTGAGGGGGGCTGTAGTATCTGAGACTTGGTTTACCAGGACACAAGTTCAAAGTCCTCCCTGGTGTATGTCTGGTCTCTCTCTGGTGCAGAACTGCATGGCCGTTGTTAAAGCCAATATGCTGTGGAATATACACAGGCCGGTCTGGAGTATGAAGTGGAAATACTTGAAGTTTCAAATAATCAGTCACGGTGAGCCTATAATTGTAATTTAAATTGTTTGGGAAATGCATTGAAGTAAGTGCGTAACCAATGTTCAGATGTTCATGAAGAATTGTACTCCTCATGTGGTTTATTAAAATGGTTTAGTATTTGGGGCACCTGGGTGGCTCAGTCGGTTAAGCGTCCGACCTTTTTTCTTTTTTTTGGGCAGGGGGGGGGCAGGAGGCACATGCAAACAGGGGAGGAGCAGAGAGAGAGGGAGACAGGGAACCTCAAGCATGGCTGCAAAGCCCCGATGCAAGGCTTGATCCCACGACAGTGAGATCATGACCTGAGCGGAGATCAAGAGTCAGACGCTTAACCAACTGAGCCACCCAGATGCCCCGAGCGTCTGACTCTTGATCTCAGCTCACGTCCTGATCCCAGGGTCGTGAGTTCCAACTGCACATTGGGCTCCACGCTGGGTATGACACCTCCTTAAAAAAATAAAAATCAAAATCGCGTTGCATTTGATAGAAGCAGGCTTAATTCCCATAACAACAAATGAAATAAAACGAACACCCTGTGTTATGGGCCGAATTGCGTCACCCGCCAAAGTCATGTGTTGAAGTCCTCAGCCCCGGTACTTCAGGACGTTGACTGGACACAGGTAGGATCTTCAAAGACGTGATCCAAGCTACTGTGGAGCCTTTAGAGCAGGCCCTGGTCCAATATGGCTGGTGTTCTCAGCAAAGGATATGAGTCCATAGAGGGAGAGTCCCCCGGGGGATGAGCACCCATCTGGAGAAAAGGCCACGGGGGGACACAGGGAGGAAGGGCCACCTGCGAGCCGGGGGAGAGGCCTCCGGAGAAAGCAAGCCTACTGACACCTTGGTCTCGGACTCCCAGCCTCCAGAACTGTGCGAAGCCAGATCTCTGTTGTTTTGGCCCTTCCATCTGTGCTATTTCGTTACGGCCGCACTAGCAAACTAATACACGCTGCGACTCGTTCAGAAGTCTCGGGGTTCTCGGTTATTTGTTGGCCTGTTTGCACCTCGTTTTGCTCTGCTCCTTAATGTCTACCTTCAAAATAAGACCCAGACACGTCCCCTTTGCGCCCCGTTGCGATCTCCTCTTCCCGCGGGGTCCTTGTTACAGTCTGGAGTACGTGGATGCATGCGTCTAGAGGATTCTTTTTCTAGAAATATTGTACGTATCATTCGGCAATTTTGCTTTTACTTAATCAGATGGCGCCGAGGTCTTTTGGACTTTATGAGCATTTCCCTTGTTGATATGCTTTTAAATTTTTTCCGGGGTTTGCCAAGAAAGACTTTATGTCACAAAATAGCTCTTTGGGTCGAGCTGGTAGCTTACATAGTCCAGTTTCTTTAAACTTGTAAGGGAACAGGAGCGGTGATAGCAGCCTGAATAAACTGTCGTGCCTTTGGAAAAAGCAAAAAGAACCAAAGGCCTCAGTTTAAGAAGTCAGCAGAGCCATATTCCTGAATGTCACGGTTTCGACGATGAAAGACCAAAACCCGAAACTCCAATACGGCAGTGCTACTTTTCTTCCATGTGTACAACTTAAACCCAAACCTAAATCGACCTCTGATTTATTGGCACTTAATTCCCTAAAATGTTGACTGAGTGTTGCCAGGAAGGCCTGGTGGGACTCCACTTAAGTCTTTAGCTACAAACCCGGAAACGTACAAGGCCTGACAATCATTTGCATTTTATTGCAGCTTGGTATGGAGCTGAATTGCTTTGCTGAAATCAACTCCTAGATTAAGAAAGGCTGATATCATTTATTGCAGGCATTGAGTGACATCCAAGAGGCGACAGCCTCTCTGATTTGCCATTACCTTGGAGAGATTTAACTGTGTTTTGCAATACTTTTCGGCGCATACTATTGTTTTATTCTATTTCCAAAGGATTTTTTTACTTCAACGAGCCATGAATGTTTTGTCAATTATTACTGGTACGTTTTCGCCATTCAATTTAGCAGCGGCTAACTTCTATTGGAAGTCTACAACAAAAGCGAACACAATAACCTGAAAGAATGCGTGCTGATTGAAACAAACCTGTGAGTTGTATTGAAAAATCAATTTGAGGCAAAGAGCATACAGCATGTCCCAATGCAAGTTGATAGTAAGTTCCTGCTAGGTTAGAACCCACAACTTTAATGAAATACAGTGATCATTTCAATTTAATTATTTTAAATATTCACAGTACCCACTAAAGTGTGACCTCTGGGGTGCCGAACACTGAAAACAGTAAGCTTTCATTTTCAGTTGTCATCAACACTGCCACACCAGAGGTGTCTCGAAAACCCTGCCACGTTCTTGGCAGATCATGAATCCACCAGGAAGCCCCAATCAAGGACGGTTGAGTTAGGTATCTGAAAACCGTACCCCATAGTAGCAATAATTGTGGTAGTATTAGCAGGAATAGCAGGAGTACTTGTTATCCAACTTAATTTTTTTTTTAACGTTTATTTATTTTTTTGAGACAGAGAGAGACAGAGCATGAGTGGGGGGAGGGTCAGAGAGAGAGGGAGACACAGAATCCAAAGCAGGCTCCAGGCTCCGAGCTGTCGGCACAGAGCCCGACACGGGGCTCGAACTCATGGACTGTGAGATCATGACCTGAGCCGAAGTCGGACGCTCAGCCGACTGAGCCACCCAGGCGCCCCACTTGTTATCCAACTTAATAACTGGACCACCTGCAGTTAAAATTTTACAGGAATTTGAACTTGAGGAAAGCCTCCCCAGATGTTCCTATAGACAAGGTTCTCCTCATTCTCCTAGTGGGTTAACCAGCCTTGGAAGCAAGAGTGAAAAAAAGAAGACTGTTCTCCATTTTATTTGTGCTTTGTTATTGTTGTTGTTGTTGGGGGGGGGGCTTTTAAAATACAGTTTATTTATTTCTGAGAGAGAGAGCGTGAGAGAACGCGTGCGTATGAGCCGAGGAGCAGAGAGAGAAGGAGAGAGAGAATCACCGACTGTGAGACCATGATGTAAGCCAAAACCAAGAGTCGGACGCCTAACCGACTGAGCCAGCCCAGTGCCCCACGTCTCCATTCTATATGGGGCTCGAACGCCCTGCAGAAGGTAGGGTACCTCTGAACGGTGGCCAATTCGGTTGTTTCACCCTCTGCAGCTGGGGACTTGGCTCAGAAATTCCATCGCCGTGTTCTGGCACAACACAAAACCACTTCAACCCTTCTCCCTTTTCTCTTAGAAAGGCTGAGGCTGTGTTCTTGCAAAAACACAATTTCGGGTGGTTCCTGCCATGACCTAGGGAGGCAGAGCCGAAAAGGCTTCGGCGTCAGACTGGCGTGGGCTCAGCTCTTGGTTCCCACACTCAGTGGCTTTGGGATCTTGGGGATGCTACTTAACCTCTTGAAGCCCTAGTGTCCTCAGCTGAAACATGGTACCAGTGCCACCCGCACCATAGGGTGACGTAGTGATTGAGAGAGACACTTGCCATATGCCTTGCGAACGTCTGTCCTCTTCCTCTGGGTGAAAAGCCACATGGCCTCAGTTTGGCTCAGGTACACCAGCCCGGTCAAGATCGCAGCAAGTAAGCTAGGAACACTGTGACCAACAAACCCGATAAAGGTCAAACTTTCCAATCGTTGTGAAGCATCACGTAACAGACACAGTGCCCGAGGGCTGGCCTGTCTCCCCCTCTGGCCACTGCTGGTTTCTGGAGCCAGGCGACAATAGTGATTGCAGAACTGAAACAAAACAACAACGTGGGCATGTTGTCCATATCGCTTTGGATTTACAATAAAGTATTGGCACTGACACTAATATTTTTATGACTGCAAAATTTATTAAATAAAAAACCCAGTGAAAACAGAAATTTTATATCTTACACATCAGAGGAAATATGCTTGTAAGCATATTACAAATAGCAAGAAAAGCACTTATAATTGTTATGTTTTGGTTGTTCAGACATTCAATTATTAGGAAACCTCACTAAAAATTGAAGTGTTTGGAAACTGAGCAAAAACGACATGAAATGAAGAACACTTAATCCTCAGTAATGGATCTTTTTTTTCCCCAGGGTTCGGTCCTAAGAAACAAAATGGCCCAATGATATCATTGTTGAATGGTGAACATATTTGTGTGGAAAATTTTGCTGCCACTGGAAAAGTTTATTTTCATCTTACACCAGTTTAGAAGTTGTCGGGAGATAGTAATAAACCAGATGCCATCTTCAAATAATCTTTTCCCCTGTTTGATGACTCCCAGAGTTCTTTCAAAGTAACTTTTTGGGGGTTTGGGGTGGAGAATGGTGGTCAGAAACTTGAAGTTTTCACTGATAGCCAGTTGTAGTTTTATTCCTCAAAAGAGCACTTCAGTCTTATCTTTATCCTTGTTGCTTTGTCGCCAATAGAGATTCAATTCAGTTTCCGTATTACTCTCAAAGATATTCCATTTATATCCTGCTTGCAAGAAAATGTTTTCACTGGGGTAAGAGTCTTCCCATAGAAATTGTCCTGCTCCAACGTCTTCTAAAGGAATGTAGCTTTGTTCTATTTGAAAATTAATGCAGCATGGAATTCTCTGAGTACCTCTTAGGAAAATGCAGGATGTCAATCGCAGATTATTTAAGTATTTCCCAAAAAGGTTTTACCAACAAAAGTATCTATAGGTCAGTAATCAAGACTGGAGCCCTTACTGACAGAGTATTAGTTATTGATGCTATCCTTATGCATTCATGCAAAAACCATTCTTTGAGCACAGGTTATCTGCAGGGGGTTTCGCTAGGCATGAAGGATAAGTGACAGATGTTTATTATCCCCGTCCTTGGGATGCTTATGGTCTAATGGGAGCTGCGATAAACAAATGAATAAATGATTGCAAATGGTGATTTGTGCATGAAAGAAAATAAGGGCTACGGCAGAGAATAGGGTGACCAGCGAAGGTCTTTCTGAGGCGGTGACATTTTGACTGAGTCACAACTCAAAGACAACACCGGGCAATAGAGGAAAGTGATCTAGGCAGAGGGAAAAGTGGGTGCCAAGGCCCCGGGGCAGAAAAGAGTTTTGTGTATTCCAAGAACTTAGGGATGGCCTTTGTGCCTGGGACAAAGTGAGAGACAGGAGACAAACACGGATGAGGTCATAAAGTCAAGAGGGGCTAGAAGAGGCAGTACCTGGGGGACTGGGAGAAGACATTGACCTTTATCTATAGGGCAATGCAACATCATTGAAAGATTTTAAGTAGCGAAGCAGCTTAAATAATTTGCCTTTCAAAGAACACTCTGTGGAAAATTTCTGTTGTGAGAAGAAGAGAGAAAGCAAGAGAGAAAGTAGTGGGACCAGTTAGGAGACCGCTTGGTCAACCACAGGAAACATGACGGTAGCTTTGACCCAGATGGTTGTGGTGGAGGCCGCAGGGAGACAGGCTCATACCAGATGTATCTGAAGGAAAGCAAATAGAACTTACTATTGGGTTAGATAGAGGAGAACAGGAATGCAAGGGGCCAAGGATGGTCCCCAGTAACCCGGGCACATTGCTAATCAGGTGCGTGACGGCGGAGGAGTAGGAGAGGGCCAGAAGAGACTGACAGACGGGCTGGTGCAATAGGACAAACAAGGACAGTGGAGTGTCTTCCATGACGAGGCAACGGAGCTTCAAGATGGAAAAGGTGGTCAAGTGTGTCTGACAAAGCGACGTAAAGACCCAAGAGCCTATTAGACTGGCCAATATGGAGGTTGTCGGTAACCTGGCCACACGGTTTCAGAACAAAGAGGCTGGTGAGGAAGCAGGTAGAGCGTGTGTAAGCGTCTCTTTTGAAAGCTTGTCCTTTTTGCCAGGCAGGGGAGCCCAGGACGGAGCTCGGGACCACTGGGCAAGAGGACAGTCATTTCTCTCAGTTAACCACCCTCAACCCTTTAGCCCAGACACCTTTCCCAGAGAGTAAGAGACTCCTTCCCCACCTCTTTACCTTCATCCCCATCATCCTCATAATTACCCTGGCGAGGGCAGGCGTGTCAAAGAACCATTTGCTTTTGACCTCTTAGGTGGACGTCTGCCCAGTTTTTGGCTCCGGGACCCTTCTCCCCTCCTGTCAATGAGCCCCAGGCCTCCCTCCACACCATTCTCACGTCGGCCAGCTCAAGGTGAGCTTCTGACTCATACACACTTTCCTCTTAAATTTTCTCGGCTTTCTCACTTAGCCAACGATGAGGTAGGACATGAAAATGTCTAAGAAATGTCGGAGGGCAGGAAATTAAGGAGGACTTGTAAGGACGCAGTTGTTCTCACGTTTTTGTTTTTCAAATTGCATTTTGTTAAACTAACCACGCTAGGGGAAATTGCCAATGGAGGAATATTGATTTTTCAAAGCGACACACGCTTTAGGAGGATTTGACATGGCTTTTACTGAAATTGCAGAATGGCTTTACTCTGTACGTGCCCTCTGTGATGGCCTACGGGGAAGGATGTGTGATATGTGTAAGAAAAGGAGTAGAAGGAATTTCATTAAGGGTAGGATGCTAGAACGTGAAGGTTCCAGCTCTTATGTAATTGAGGAAGGGTAGAAGTTGCATTTCAGGGAATAAAGGAAATCAGATGCCACAAATTTAACTGATTCTCATCACCAGCCAGTTAAACTCTCTTTTGCAGATCAGACATCTTTCCTCTATTTGCAGCAAAGCTTCAAAGCTGCAGGCTGGGCATCAGGCCATCAGAGTCACTCAGACCACAATGATGACATTTCCCGGAGTCCAGCATCCAGCCGTCCTCCCTCTCTCCCCTCATCGTCCTCTGTCCTGTCACCAAAACAGAAAAAGATGGGAAAGGAGAATATTGTTTCCTTCCTGCCTCAAAGCTCCCTGGGCCTCCTAAGAATACAATATAACCCCCAACTTTCCCCAAATCTCCACATCCTAACATTTCCAGGAAGTTATAAGCCATGGGAGTCCGGGCAGACCCAGAAGAACATGTGTCTTTTTCTCTAAAAGCCCTTGTGGAAAGTCCCCACTATTCTGTGGGGGAGAAACAGTGTCTGCTTTGTTCATTCTGTTTCTAACGCCTAGTACAGTGCCCGGTCCAGGATCAACAATAGTGTTTCTTTAATGAATAAACAGGCGAAGGAGTGAAGCTTTCCAAGTGGATACATTCAAATGCTAAACACTTGGGCTCTATGTCTATGTGCTTCCATTTACCCCTAAAGAAGTTTCTCCTATTTGTTTTTGTATCTTTATTCCCTGGGAACAAGAAAATCAAAACAGTGAAATGACTTTTTGCTGGGTCACAAAGCATGAAAATAAAAGCATCAGAGCCTGGCAAGTCCGTGAGGCTGATGACAGCTTTGATGTGTTGACTTCTCTTCCAGGGTCCCGTTCACGATCTCTGTGTCCCTCCTCACCTCTCCATTTCTCTTGCTCCCCCTCCCTCTCCCCCTGATTTCCCGGGCTCAGCTGTGAATTCAGCTGCCTACCATAGAGTTCATGAAGACTGGACTCACCTAGGGTTATTTGAATTTTGGTAGAAGATTCTTGAACTCAAAGGAATAACATTGAGTGTTAAAATTTCCAAGGGGTGGAGGCAGGTGGTTTAGAGGGACTTAATTTTCCCATCTCAAATTATTCCAAATAGGCAGTTATATATTCTGGCCATTCATAAGGCCAGGTCTGCTCATTGTTCACTCTGCTGGACCAAACTGGATTAGGACCCAGACTAGGGTTGCAAGATCATCTTTAAAGAGTAACCACAATCCCTGTTGTCCATCCATTCATCCATCTACTTCATTCATTCGTTTGTTCACTGGAGACCAATGGTGAGAAAGGCAAGGACATGTGAGTTCTCTAGCAACTTACAGACTCAGGGAGAGAGATAGTGATCTCCTAATCCTGCAACTGAAAGGAACACCTTGGATAAAAGGAGTCAAGCTCAGGGAGTTTACAGAGGAGCCACAGAGGCTGGGCTGGTCTAGAGGTGCTTCCCAGAGGAAGGAGGAGTGGGAGTCAAGGGTGGATAGACAGAAGACCCAATGGGAGAGGGAGCTCCCTGAAGGTATAGAAAGCAGGCTGGAGTGGCTGGTGTTCAAACCTCCAGGTGGACAATCGGCTGGGGAGGAAGGCAAAAGCCAGAGCATTTAGTCTCTTTGGGATCAGATTTAAGGTCGTATTCTTTATCTTAAGGTGGATAGGGAGCTCTTGAATAGTTTTAAGTGGGAGAGGAGCCTGGGAGGAGCCTGGGCATTATCCTGCCTTGAGCTACTCGCAAATATATTCGTGTATCGCTCTACTTTTCTTCTTGTGCATGTCTAACTCCGCACATCTCTTCCTGGGGAGAATTAAGACTGGTGCTTTCCTGGGTAGCAGAAACAAAGACAGGGTCAAGGTTCAACCATTGACTTTCACTCCAGAGATAACAGTTGTAAAAGCCCAAGCTTTGTTTTGTAAGAGCAGAGCTCTCAGTGAATCAAAAGGCAATGGCCAGAAGAGATCCAGGGGATAAAGTTCCCCTAAAATGAGTAGATAATAAACTGGCCCCTGTGTGGGGAGGAGGGAAGTGATGAGAAGCAGGAGGGCTGAGGCCAGAGAGACTTCTTGGCTGGTGGAAACCACGTAGAGGGAAGCGTCCTCGGCATGGAGACACTGCCCCACCTCTGCCCCAGCAGGCATCAGAGAGCCAGCTGGGAACCTCGCAGTCCCTGCAGACTGCATCTGTTGGGGAACGTGCTGTGTGAAGCATGAAGGTGGCCGGGGCTGAGGAGCCGGTCTTTCTCACTGCACTTCACCCATCGTTTACTCAGCAGGAGTGAGAATCACCTTTGAACACACACAAACTATCCCCCCACCCTCCCTCCTCAAAGGCTCAGGACCCGCTTTCTCCCCTGAGAGCTAACAGTGAAATAGTTAACCTGGATACAGTCAAAGGCGGTACAGTGACGCTGTGGATGGGCAGGCCCCCTCGTTATCTGTACCGAGGTGAGAATAATAGAGTCACTCGGGTCAAGATCGCGGTGAAACCCAGCCCAGTTGTAAAATGAGGTTGGCCATTTTCAAAGGTTAATCTGGCTGCGGGGTGGAGAGCTGAATGCCAAGGGGCCAGAGCTGAGGTTTCGTGACCAGACAGGAGCTTATGTCAGTGGTCCGGGCAAAAAGTCGCCATGGCTTGGGCTAACATGGTGGCCCTGGGGATGGAGAGTAGTGACTGGATTCGAGAGATGTAACTGAGGTAAACAGACAGGACTTGAAGGAGCAGGTAAGGCAGTATAAGAGAGCTTCGTTAATTGGGTTTCTATAATAGATCAGCAAATAGCTTCGATGGTTTCCACCATAATGTTGAAAGCAAACAACCCCAAGTTCTCAGTGGCTTACGGTCATCTTTTTGTCTTTCTTGTTATATAGGTCTGCAGATTGGTTGGACATTTCTGTGTCAGGTCATAGTCGGTCCATGTGTCTCTTACTCTAGGACCTATGGTTACACGGGGGTGAGCTCTTCCATGGTGGGTGGCAGGAGGTCAAGGGCCCAAGCCAAAACACACAAGTATGTTGCAATCCTCTAGCTGGACAGGGCCTAGGAAATGTCTACTCATATACCATCGGTTGAAGGATACTAGGAGACAAAGCCCAGAGACAGCGGGGCAGCGAACTAAACTGCCCCAGAGAAGCCATGGCAAGACTGAATTGTAAACAAATAATGCTCTCTGTCTTAAGAATCAAGGGTGGCCCCTAGGTTTCTGGCTTACCTAGCTGGATATATTGGGGTGCCCTTCCCTGAGAAAGGAAACCTAAGAAATGAATCAGGCTTGGGAGACCCCCTGGGCTCAGTCTTGGATATTTGGTTTGGGATGTCTTTGGATAGCAAAGTGGCAGGAGCTACGGAGAAGCGTGGCCTGGAGGTATGTACTGGGGAGATTATGGCAAAGACTGCCAGTTGTACCCAAATATCCATCCACTTACCCCTTCTTCTTCAGTCGAACCTTGAGTTTTTCTTTTCTTTTCCAACCTCTCTTGAATGGAGTAGTTGCCTGACTACATTTAAACCAATGAAATACAGGAAGGGTCAATTATGACTTCTAAAAACTATCCTAAAAGGAAAGAGTATGTCCTTCCTCCTGTTTTATCGGTCCCTGCTGGCAGAAATGTGGTTGTGATGGTTTAAGCCCAAGGGGTCAACCTGGGCCGCGAGGTAAAAGTCCGATGTTGAGAACGGCAGAGCAACGGCAGAGAAAGAAGACTAGTTCCCTGAAAAGAAAAATCACTTTTATAGTATTTAAGTTACTGCCACTTGTAGTCAAACCCAGTCCTAACTGTCACAAGAGTCATGGGAGCGAGGAAGTGCGAGACACCGCTGAATTTAACACCAGGTTTTCAAGAAGAGAATGTGGAACGAGAGGTGAGGAGGGCCCAGGACTGAGCTTCCGGGAGCTCTAAGGTGTAAGCGCCAAGTAGAGGAGGGGACCACCCACAAACAGAGACAGACGCAGCTGAGGGGTAGAAGGAAAGTGAGACTTGGTTGTTCTGGACAGGAAAGGAGGAGAGCATGTCAAGGAAGAGGAAGTGGCCAAAAGTGGGAGACCATCCAACAAGTGAACAGCAGAGGAGATGAACTAGGTTCAGAAGATGACAAGGACGCGGGGGAACACGGCCTTTGATTCGCAAGAGTATCCTCTGAAAGATATTAGGAACAAAATAAGGCTGTATTGGGGCTATTAAAACATGATTCCTAAAAAAAAAAAAAAAATTACCCATAATTCCAAATATTTCTAAACCACCAACGGCCCAGAGTACCATCCAGGATGCTTTAAGAGGAAAACGACTCTGTTCTAGACTCTATTAGAAGGTGAGCGGAAGTGATGGAGAAGACAGATGGGCCTCAACATGACTTTCTGTCCTTACACGTCAGGTTTTCCTCTCCATTCCTCTCCTTTGCCCCCACCTCTGCCTTCTGCACAGCTTCCGGCAAAAGCCTCCACCTCTCTGGCCTGTCCTTTGTCCTGTCCCCACACTGCTTCTCATTGTTTTCTTAGGAAAACATGGTAACTTCACTCTCTTGCCCCAAATCCTTTCAGGACTTTCCACTGACTACATTTTCAAGTTTCAATTCCTTAGTCAGGCATATTAATCTTTCAAGATACAACCCTGACTTTTCTCTCTCATCTATCCATATATTCTGCCTCGACGATATCAAAGGACAATCTCCAGTCAAAATCTAACTGTAGTCACGTGGGAAACCCCAAGGAGTATCACTCGTCTGTGACCAGTCAGAACGAGAAAACACTAAATATTGCTGTTTCAAGACACTAAGTTTGGGGGGGGGGTGCTACACAGCAATAGATAAGCAGAACAGAAGTGGGTACCAGGAGGGGGGGGTCCGGCATTAAAAACTTAAACCATACGGCATTGGCTTTGGAACAGGCCGTGGCCTACAGAGTCTCGGGAAGATGGTTATTGGGGCCTATAAGAACAGTGAGAAAATTGACAGCGAGAGAAATCATTATTGGAAGCAGGAGTAAAGTGACTAGCAAGGCCGTCACCTGCAGTAAGGCGGAAAAGAAAAAAAATGTAACTAGTGGATAGTGAGACCGGCTAAGGAGATTTCAAGCGGGATGTTGAAAGTGTCACCTGAGTCCTGTTAGCCATGGATGGTAAGGGGCAGAGAGAAATGAACAAGAAGAAGAAATTGTTAGGTTTCAGATGTAATTTAGAGAAAATGAAGAGAATCCAGGATTGCCTAGGTTCAAAATTAAGCTCCTTGGTATCCGCCGCCCCCCACCCCCCGCCAGAGAGTAAATTATTTATTTTCTTATTTATTTTAGTTTTTTTTAGTGTTTATTTTTGAGAGAGAGAGAGAGACAGACAGAACATGAGTGGGGGAGGGGCAGAGAGAGAGGGAGACGCAGAATCCGAGGCAGGCTCCAGGCTCTGAGCTGTCAGCACGGAATCCGACGTGGGGCTCGAACTCACAGACCGCAAGATCATGACCTGAGCCGAAGTCAGACGCTCAACCCACTGAGCCACCCGGGCGCCCGGAGAGTAAATTTTTTATAAAGTAGGATGACCAAAGAGCCTCTCAAGGATGTGGCTCTACTTTAAGACTTCAGAAATACTTAGGGGTGTGCCTCCTACCTAGAACCCTCAGCTAGGCAAAAGATTTCTAAGAGTTTTAACAGCATTGCCCCACAGAATCCTAACCTTAAGCCCAAAACCAGACAGGGTCCTATCTCAAAAACACTTGTGAGTGTGGCTTTTGTAAACTGCAAGATTCCTAGGAACCCCACAATGTGTTTATGAGTTTGAGTGGATGGGTGCACCATCAGCCAGCGTGAACTAAAAGGGGCAGAGTGACTCAAAACTGAAAAGAAGCCTCTAGACCTTCGAACTTCTATGGGCAGGAAGCCGGCTAAGGGAGCTATTCAGTGGCAAATGTAAGCCATCTCTCACAGCAAAGAAAGGGTGATTCAGAGGACAGAACCAGGGACCATGGAGAGTGACGCCCTGAGGGCAGGACTGTGACCCAGGATAGAACTGGAGGCAATACCTAGCCAGATTGCAGAAATGCTACGGACAAGTGACTGCTCTACGTGCCTCCCATTCTTCCTGCCCCCTCTGAGCCGGAGCGTCTCCTACAGGTATTTGTACACCCCAGTGTATATTGGGTGCTTGTGTGTAGGGGTGCAGGTAGCCTGTCTTTTTAGTTCACAGGTAGTCCTATTGACAGGAAACTGTTTAAGGAACACCACCAGAAGAGGAAGCCATTTGTGCCTGGACTGTATTTAGATGACAAGTTCCAGGTTTTTCCATCTGATTCTTATGCGCTTTGGGGGCAGGTGCAAAAGGGTGTGAACATTTTTGCTTGAGGGAAGGATGTGAATTATCGTGCCTGGAGGGCAGACGGGATTTTCTGAAGACAGCCACCACAGAGTCTCCATCCCCCAAGCTCTTCCGCACTGGTGGGAACTCGCCACTTCCTCATCAAGAGGTGAAGATTATTTCTCTCTGCCTGCTTCTACTGGGAAGGGCCTGTGTCTGCCGTGACCAGTAGAATATGGCAGCATCACTGCTGGGCCCACCGTGTCCACTGTGTCCACACAGTGTTTCACTGGCCTGGCAGTTTTCACTTCCTGCCTTTTAGAACACTCCCTCTGGAGCCCAGACTCCATGCTGTGAGGGCCCCAAGCTACACAGAGGGGCCACAGCCAACAGCCCACATAAGCTGTCAGCGCCATCTTGAATGTCCAGGTCCAGCTGTGGCCAACATCTGACCAAGACCACGTAAGGGACTCCAGGTGAGAACTAGTCACCGAACCCAGTCAACCCTCAGAGCCACAAGAGGTAATAATACGTTGTGATTTTTATGTTACTAGGTTTCAGAGTGGTTTGTAAGGTCCTCAATACTTGTTCGTTGAATTTGTGACCCAATTCACTGCACCTTGGAATTTTTAAAGCAAGTAATACCACAGAGGACAAAGACAAATATTTACATCACATGCTAACTTGCAAGGTTATCAATTTTTTGGTGTGAGGTGATAGATGACCCACCTGTGAATGGCTTAAATTGGGGATTGGCAAACATTTTTATAATGGGCTAGATAGAAAATATTTTAGGTTTTGCCTCTGTCACAACTCTACAACTCTGCCATTGTAGCTGTAGTCAGTAAGTAAAGGAATAAGCGTGCCTGTTTCCTAATAAACGATTTTGCTTACAAAAGCAGGCTGCAGGGTGCTTTGGCCCACGGGCCATAGTTCGCGGACTCCTGCCTTTAAACATAGGGACTCATTATTTTGTAACAAGAACTGAGAGTTAATTCAAATAGATCAACCATATAAGCATGAACGTGGGGTCTCTCCACCTTTCTGCTCTGTCATCCTCAATTCTGTGAATTTTGTTCTCAGGCTGGTCCCTTCACGCGGTTGTAAAATGGCTGCCACTTCCTCGCGCCTCCAGGCATCACATCCTGACACCCACGTCCCCAGTGGAGAGAGAGGACTGCTTCTCTGCATCCTGTTTAAGAGCTAAGAGAACTTTTCCAGAGGTCCTCCAGCAGACTTTCACGCCCCATGGGCTATAAGTGCATCTCACATCCATTCGTAAACCATGAGTTACCATTATCTTGACCTCAGACTACTCCAGCTTCCCTCCATCGGAAGCTTTGCCCAATACGGGAACAAAATGGGGTTCCGTTAGCAAGGAGTCTAGCTACTGGGTGGGCGATAACCCAGAAAACCAAGCAGAAGCCCAGAGGCATTGGCGATAGGGTGCGCAGAAGATTCGAGGGCCAGATCCTGATGCCCAGCTTGGTCGGTTAGGGGAACAACAAGGAAACAAAGCACGTGTCGTCCAGTGGCTTCCGGAAGTTCCTAGTCCACAGCGTCAAGGAGCTTGAAGTGCTGCCGATGCCCGACAGATCTTACTGTGCAGAGATTTCTCACGATGTCTCCTCCAAGAACCACAAAGCCCGTCTACAGATTGCAGGTGGCAAGAGGTGTGAGGCTCTCTGCAAACTCCAGGTGGCCAGGCCCAGCCGAGGCCACGGAAACAAAAAGCCCCAGCCTTTCGGCGTGTACTGCTTGAGGTCACTTTCTCCATGGAGGTTTTCCTGAGCCCTCCCTCAGGAGACACTGCCAGCTCCCTCCTTCGGTCCTCAACCCACACATCATGCCTTCGGCCCCCTACTTGTCTATGCCCCCCCTGAACTGGGACTTCCTTACTTTGACATCAAAGTGGCTGCTGCCATTCCTGGCCCACAGAAGGCCATCACCCATGTGTGATGGCGGGTGGAGGAGGGTGCAGAGGAAGTCAGCTCCCCAGTTCCCTGGGTCATTAACGTTAACACTGTGGAATTATCTCTGCCTTGCTCTTCTTTTCGGAGCGGTGGCCTCAAGCTTGCAGACTTGTGCCCTTGAGCCAGGATCCCGTCAAGCTGAGAAACCCAGTTTGCTTGTTTTCCTTTTAGTTGGGGCCGGATAGGAACCCCGTGGGCAGTGTTGGGCCACAGGCTTTTGGCAAGTGGTGCCATGGGCTTGACTCCTAACTTTTCCCACATTCCTTCAAACGGACCCCCTGCCCTGCAGGATGGCTTTTAGTGGAATGTCACATGTCCTCGGCACTCATCTGTGGTCCCTGGGACGGCACCTACCACACTATCTAAGCTGTGTGTCTTTGGTCTGTCTCTCCTGCACGATGACCAGCTTTGTGAGGACAGACGTGCTCTTAGGATCATTTCTGAACCCAGTGCCTGGAAGATGCAGAAGAGATGTTTAACGAATGGATGAATGTCAGTGATGTTTCTGTAAACACACACACACACACACCCCTTTCTTTTTTCTTTTCTTTTCTTAATGTTTATTTATTTTGAGAGAGAGAGAGACACAGCATGAGCAGGGGAGGTGCAGAGAGAGAGAGGGAGAGAGAGAATCCCGAGCAGGCTTCCCGCTCAGTGCAGAGCCCGACTCGGGGCTTAATCCTTGGAACCATGACCTGAGCAGAAATCAAGAGTCCGATGCTTAACCGGCTGAGCCACCCAGGTGCCCCTCGCGCACACACCTTCCAACGGCCCCAGAATCAGATGTGTTGGCGAATGCTGTTGCCTTCATCCTTTAACCTGGCTACCTCCCAAGCACCTCTGCTCAAAGCCATGGAACCGCCACTGCCACAGGGAAGCTCTGAACTGAGAGTCCTTGCCAGTGATGGCCTGTTGATCTACCCCAGTGCCCCTGCATCCCCTGCAGCCCCAGCCAATGCTCGCCTGGCCAGCACTGCCCGGATGTGTGCTGACCTGGGGATGCGCTGCGGGTCGAGGGAGGCGCTCACGCAGAGCTCACTCGGGGGTGGCCGCCCTCCTTTCATCCTGCAACACGGGCAGAATCGGGAGCCCCAGCAACCTGAAATTCACAGAAATCCTGGAGTGGACCGAGGAAGGGTGGGAACAGGAGGCACACGTGGCAGCTTGTCCTGAAGGCGACAAGATGCCTATTTGCATATAATAATTACCGGGCTCCTAGCTGCACCAGCCGCTGCCGAGCCCGCGGCTTGCACCGGTGCACTTAATGCCGCAGCTGTGATGGGAGAATTTCAGCTGAGTCACATCCCTGTCTTAGGAGGCGAGGGGGAGAGTTGAGCCTGGGGGAAGGTAGCTGACTTGTCAAAAGTCACACGCAGCTAGGAAGCGGGGGGTGGGGGTCAAGATCAGAGCCAGGCCGGCTTGCCCCAAAGTCCATCTTCCTGATCACTGGAGCACACTGCTCGCGAAGAAGCAATCGATCAGCAGCTTTGACCGTTTCCGTCTGTGGACACAGTCTGGTTGACGCACTGCCTCTCTCAGGAGGGGGCTGGAAATGTGTCCCCAGTGGAGCAGGATATCCCTCCCTCGGGTTGCGGGGCCAGCGAGGTCGATGAGTGGGGCGCAGGTGGGCCCCAGGTCCTGGCGTCCTGGGCCTGGGGTGGAATGTTCCATCCCTTCTAGCCTTGGAAGGCCTTGCTCCACGTGCTGCTCAGATCTCACCCTCCCTGAAGGGGCTGGGCTCCCTGGCAGCTTGTGCTGAGGACTGGGTATCCCGCCCCTCCCCCCTTCCCTTACTTTGTCACTGACAAGGGCAACTTCGTCTGGAAAAGGGGCCAGGCCAGAGTCACCAGGCTCTTAATGGAGCTGTGCAAGATACTGTCGTGGCCACTTTCTCGTCCACCCGGGGGGGGGGGGGGGGGGGGGGGGGGGACAGCGCTTGTGATGTCAGGAAGTTCACAGAAGCGAGTCCAGGCATGGCGGGTGTCCGGGGCCTGATCCTTGTCGTGCCCCACGTCATGAGAAGGGGGAGGCCCAAGGCCACAGGCAGACCCCTGCCAACATCGTTATGTCCCCCTGTGTCTTTATGTGGGAGGAGAATGAGCCTCCCCTCCCGCATCCATCTGGTCCCCCCATCCTCAAATACACCCAATCTGAGCCCCACACCCCCGTCACCTCCGTGGCGCAGCTGGGTGACTCAGCGCCAGGCCCTTTATGGCCCCGAAGTCACACACAGTGCCGGCCCGGACCAGCCAAGCACCTTCAGCCCCACACCCACTCTTCCCTCTCTCTTCGGGTATCTGTGAAGGAAGGTTCCCGAATCCCAGGTCGTAGGCTCCCCCGACGGTGCAGCTGTACTCCTCACGTCCAAGTAGTCGCGGACAAGCTCCCTAACCATCTGTGGGCCTCCATTTTTCTCAGCTGAACCAGGAGGACGAAAACAGCTTCTCTTCACGAGACTGTGGCAAAGACCGGATGACGGAACACACGAGAGCCCTCTGCACACTGCCTGGCACGCCGTACCTTCCCCACCACGAGGGCACGGTCGGGGCGGCCGGCCCTCAGGACCGTGTGCACGAGCCGGCTCCTAAGCCACGCAGCTGAGAAACAGCAGGGCTTGTTTCCTCTGCTGGCCTAGGACTTCCCTCAGGGTCCCTGCGTCAACGGTGTCTGAGTCCCCGTCTCCTAGGCGAGTGTGACCTCCCTCCCTCTTTCTGCAGAGGCTCCCTTGGGAAAGTGGTATTTCTCAGAGTCTCAGGACACTGAGCTCTGCTTATCTCCGGGACTTGAGTAGTCGCAGAAATGAGACTTGTGCTTCCAGCCTGCATCGGTCCCAGCCCATGACCTTCAGGGAAGGTCATGCTTAAGCAGAAAATTTCAGCAGGTTTCCTATCCAGCCGTGCTCACCTGCAATTGCCTTTAACTGTGTTAACATCTGTCTCCACGCAGCCACCCTCCCCCCTCCTCCCCACGGCCACCGCATACAGGGACCTCACTAGGCTGCCCGAAACGCATATTCAAACACAGCTTCTCTGTTTCCCGTTGGGCAAGTCCGTTTTCTCAACTATAAAATGAGACTGTGATGCCCTGTCGATCTTGCAAAGCTATTGAGTGGAACAGATGAGATCCATGAGAGGGTTTTTCCCTAAACCACGAAGTCTGCCTAAATGTGCATTATGGTAATAGTAAAACTCTGGAAACTTGGCTCACCTGGGTGGCTCAGTTGGTTGAACGGCCGACTCTTGATTTCCGCTCAGGTCATGATCCCAGGGTCAGGGGATCGGGTCTTACAACGGGCCTCGTACCAAGCTGCGTGGAGCCTCCTTGAGATTCTCTCTCTCCTCGCCTTCTCTCTTTCTGCACCTCCCCCGCTCTCTCTCTCTCTCTCTCTCTGAAATAAACTTAAAAACAATACATAAAAATTAAAAAGTCAATCTCAAAAGGTAACTACCTTCGGCTGGCATTGATTTAACACTATTGACATTACAAATCAGAAGTTGGGGAGTGAGTGAGGGCAACATGGGGGACCCCCGTGGGGGCAGAAGTCTTCTGGGTCTTGATTATATCAGTGCTAATAGTCTGGTTGTGATCTGGTTTTTTAGAATATCACTGGGGAAAACTAAGTCATCTCTCCGGATTACTTCTTGCAGCTGCATGTGAATCTATAATTATCTCAAAATTAAAACTTTAATTTAAAAATGTGCTGCAGAGTTATCTAGTTGGATCCAAAGTTTATAAAATAGCGACTGTATTTACTGATCTTGCATCATGCTACTTTATCTGTTTGGCTCACTTACTTGTGCAATGTACCGTTGTTGGCCTACTTTGCAGATAATAAAACTGGGCGCTGGAAATACTAAGGCCATAAAAATAGTGCGTCACATTGTTGGGGTTCGGAGCCCTGAGCCACTCTGCACTACAGTCAATTCTAATAAGACATTAGGCACACTCAGGATTTGAACCACGCGGGGCTGAATCCTCAAACCAATTCTGGGTATATTTACTTAAGTGCAAGAATCACCAGCAATGGGAAGACTAAATTCAAAGGTCATTCTTTAGGATTCCTTTGGGGGATGATGACAGTGTTCTGGCTTAGATCCTGGTTGTGGTTGTACATGTCTGAGGATATATTAAAAACCACACACAGAATTACACACTTTAAAAGAGTAAATTTCACGGTATGTGAATTATCTCTCAATTTTTAAAATCAACCCCACTCCCCACTCTCCACCCCCCCGGCAGAAAAAGTTCTTGTGGTCTGGAAGTAAAAAAAGTTGACCTCTAGTGATAGTGGTGGTAGTAAGGAAATCTCCAAGGAAGAATTAACTTCTGAAATACAGTGGGGATAGGGGCGCCTGGGTGGCTCAGTCGGTTGAGCGTCCGACTTCGGTCCAGGTCATGATCTCACGGTTTGCGAGTTCGAGCCCCACGTCGGGCTCTGTGTTGACAGCTCAGAGCCTGCAGCCTGCTTTGGATTCTGTGTCTCCCCGTCTCTCTGGCCCTCCCCAGCTCATGCTCACACTCTATCCCTGTCAAAAATAAACTTAAAAAAAAATAAATTGGGGACCATGGCAAAGACATAGAAAGTGTCTAAGATCCTGCCTCTGGTGACAAGAAGGAGAAGGGGGCACAGGAGGTCACAGAGGTGTGTTGAACTTGAGATGGCTTGAGCAGCCTCTCCTAGGGACCTCTAGTGGACTGATTAGGGGTGGAAGCAAAGACGCAGAGGTTTGGGATCCGGAAGTAGATGAGATATCTCAGGGAGACAGGATGAACCTGGATGATCATTTATTAGGAGGAGTCAAAGTGGAAGGCATTCATTTCCAACAGAAAAATAGAGCTCAGCATGCAAAATCTGCCGTCTCTAATCACACGCCAAATTCACAATTTTTCTTTCCTCCTTCAAAGGGCAAAACCAGATCCAGTGACAGAACATGACTCATAAAAGCAGAGTAAGAAAAATCATGTTCCCCTGGGAAAGCACATCACCTGGTGCCTCTCATTTGTCCTGGTTATTGTAAGGTTTCTGTTGTTCCAGAGGAGACTCTGAGCACAGAGAAGACGGCTTCGGTGTTGAAAATTAATATTCAACCTTTTTAGGGTAACATATTCTAAAATCCAGGTTTCCACAAGCTTTCAAGTTAAATTTAACAAAGCTTATTATTTTACTTCTAAGTCTATTCAAAGTCCCGTGACTGTTTTCGAGAAGACTTGGGAACTTAGTTAATTAAATTCCCTTGACCAGTTCAGAGTCCATTTATAGTCTAAATATGCTTAATTTTCTTGTAAAGCACTCACTTTAGGCATCAAATAAACAAAACTCTCCCAAATACTTAAATAACGCTCGCAAATTGAATAAGCCAACCCTTACACATATGGTGAGAATGAAATGCTCTCAAACGGGGCCACTGGCTGCATTGGATGATGCCCCAGACCCTAGCGGCCTAGGAGCGGCCTGGCATGGACCACTTTTAGGAGAAGGTAGGCCCG